TCCGTTCTATACATTCATATTCCATGTATCAGTTAAGATAGGAATTAATAAAGATACCATCTCCAACTTTACATGAGAACTAGAACTCAGGGACAACATTACTGAAAACCGATAAAAACATGCTAAAACCGACCGAAACCGAACAGATAAAACCGAAATCGGTGAAACCGAACAGACGAACACCGCTAGATAGACCTATAAGCTTCAAGTTCCCAAATAGATTTGGCAAGAGTGCATAAAATTTACATCTTGTTAACAATCCTTAGTCTGGCTTCTAGTGGGAGTCGGGCCCGCCAATCGCCCGCATCCATGGCTCCTGAAGCCGCTGGTGCAGCCGCCCCCGCTGTTATGATGGCGGCGTCACCACCCTGAGCCTGTGCAAGAGGTTGCGCCGCCCTCCAGTTATTGGCATCCATGTAAATATTTTCCTACAGCTTCGACAAGAGTCGAATCGTGAACACGAAAGCTCTCCCAGGGTTCCTGCTAAATTGATCATGTGTATATATATATATAACACAAAGGAAAATGTCAGATGTACCAACAAACTTGCGAAACAAACTCAAAAAAGAGAAAGTAACGTACGTGATCTCCTGAATAAAAGTGAGGTGTTGAATAATTTAATGTGATATTACACTTCCTATAAGAAAAGAACAGACTTCATCAAAAAAAGAAAAGAATTAGACTTACTACGTACTCCCAGGGGCGGCCTAGGGGTGCAACAGGACGACCGCCCTAGGCCCAAGAAAATAGGGGGGAAATAGGCCCAAAAATATTTCTTTGTATATAGTGTGAGTATGTTTCTTTTTTTATTTTTTAAGCTCAATTAAATGGTTCAAGGTTAAATTTTTAATTTGTATAGTGGCACACATCTCTTAATTATTTTTGGATCGCTAAGTTTTATAATCCTTTTAATTATAAAATTACCATGTTATGTTAGGCCTCCCAAGTCCAAAATTCTCAATTTGCAAAGCCCATCCAAATTCCCATATGAACAAGAGTAAAGAACACTACAAAGCGGTGAGTGTCCCGATTTGTTAAGAATTGAAGCTAATCAATCAAGAAACCCAAACGGCGGTCGGTGACCAAAAAACTTCTTCTTTTCAAGGCTTCAAACAATCCATCCGCGATCAATAAATTATTCTTGATAAAATTGGTGAATCGGGCCGGGATAAATAGAGAAAGAGAAGAAGATTAGAAAAGACAAGGTTAAGTTAGAAGAGATCAATAGAAAATTTTGTTTTTGTTATGAAATTGAATCTTGAAAATTCCGTGAGAAATATTTTTAAGTAATGTTTTTCTTTTTATGTGATACTTGTGTTGTTACTTTGCACCAAATATGTAATTTAAATCATAATGATAAAATGAGTTTCGTTTTTTCTAATGACCTTTATTAGATAATTTTATTATAATTATTATTTTACATAAATAAAGTTTATTATTTATCTTGAATATAAGCTCAAAATATTATCTCGCCCATAGGCTCGAAAATAGACAGGACCGGCCCTGCGTACTCCGTATTAAAATACTCCCTCCGTCCCAAATTGAATTACAAACTTTGACCGACACAAAGATTAAAGAATGACAATAAATGATGCTTGTTTTTTACACTTTTACCCTTCATCCTAAAAGTAGATGTCTTTAAGTTGGTAGAAAAAAGTAAAAGTAAGGATAATGTTGTCACTTTATTCTTATTTACATACCTAAAATAGAAAGTAGAAAATCATTTTGGGACAACCAAAATATGAAATTTTGCGAAACAAATTGGGACGGAGGGAGTACATTTTTACATTCTCCATAATTCACTTCTTTAATCCTACAAATGCCATGTGGTCGACTCAAGGAGTAATACTGTAATATGGAACACCAACAGTAAACAAATGTAAGGATTTGTATTTAAAAACTTGGTATCAACTCATGAGACCCATTGTATAAAAAATGTCATTTTCTTCAAGGTGTTATAAGGTTTTCATTTTCTCTCTAATTTTTATAAAAGATATATCAAAATTCATAACTTTTTACGATCTTTCATATGACACCAAAATTGTATACATACGATTTAAAAAAATCTGAATGTTTGTTAAACAATCTTCCTATTTTTCAACCTCAATACAAATTATTCTGTATTAGAAAAATAAATAATTCCGAGTATATGACCAAAATAATGAGAGTATTAAGAAACATCAGTAGTAAAAACTAAAATTTTGATAGTTTAGAATTAATGTTTTTATCATCACCTCTATCATATTATATTTACCTTTATTTTAATTTTTACATCCTATCTCCACCCCGCAAAGAAGTTCTCACTTTCCTCTTATGGATGTCCCAAAAAGAAGTCTCATTTCTATAAAAAGAAACCACTTTTATCCCAAAAGTCACAAGTACTATGTAAGGGTAAACTTGGAAAGTCAAAACAAAACTCTACCTTGCATAAATAGTAATATGTGTGTAGGTCAAACCGAGAACTTAATTTCGGGACGGAGGGAGTATGTTATAAGAACCAAATTCAGCCATTAAAATCAAGTTAGTGTGAACATACTTGAAACATATAGGCTATGTTTGGCACAACGAACTGAAACTGGAGGCTATTGTCTGAATGAGGGACTATTGTCTGAATTAGGCACAATTGTCTGAAGCTGAACTTTGAAGTGCTAAATCTGATTTGCTATCTGAATGAGTAGACCTGTTTGACAAAAAGAGCTAAAAAAGTGCTCGGATAGTATGAAGTTACATTAAAGAGCATATAATTTATTAATAGAATAAAATACATATTATAATGATTTTGTATTTTCAATCTTTTAAAATCTTAGTATATATATTTATATGTATGCGTGTGTTTATATATATACACGTAATATTTAAATTTATATATGTATATAATATTTTAGATTTCATAGTCGAGAATGTATCTGGTGATTTTTTAACTTTCCCAGTTCTCAGTAACTATTATTATCACCATTATTTTATTATTGTGTTACGTAGTACTACGTAATTAATAAGAACAACTAGTCAATCGTGTTCAATGATGATGCATATCCGAATTCCCACTACCAATACCAAAAAAAAAAAAAACCACTGAGCAAGGAAGTGGGTGAAGATGCATTCTAGGGGAGAAAGTAATGATCAGACGAAGAAAGTGGTGACGAGGAGAGAAAGATGAGAGAAGGATAATTTGGGAACGTTAGAACATTTTTAGAAAATTTTAAAACCCGCTGAGCAGAAACGTTGGAGTGTAAAGCGTTGCTATTCAGCCCTATTTTTCCAGATTAAGCCCATTTAAGCTTTGTTACCAAACAAGTCTACTCCTAAAATTATTGTCTGGAATTAAAGTATTTCAGCCCATTTTGAGCTCTTGTGGCTTGCCAAACATAGCCATAGTCCACAACAATACTTAACAAATTCATCTTGAAACTGTTGAAAGTGATATTGATCCGCTCCTAAGTAAGAATGAACTTTTTATCAACATCTTGCAAAAAAAACTTTTTATCAACAAATTTATAACACAAAAATGATTTCACATGCTTATCAAAATTTTCTTTTCAAATAGGATTAGCTCCTAATGTTGACTACAAAAGTCTACATATAACCAATTTAATTATATTTTGTCCATAAATATTTATTTGAAAGGGTTTTTTTTATAGTCACGTTGATATAAACTTTAAACATAATTATAATTCCTAAAAGTTGACGAGTAACATTTTAAGGGGTTTTTGCAAGAATATTACTAAAATAAAACTTATTTACACAAATATGACTTCATTACTAGATTACTACAACGTAGTGTTGTAGTAACTTAAGTTCAAAACTTGAAAATGAATTACTATGATTTCATTACTACTCTAGTAACTAGTCATATTATTGTAAACCATCTTTATTTTGGTTATATTTATGTAATTATTTCACATTTTAATCTGCTATCGTTATTTGGGTCATAATTATGAATTACTCCCTCCGGTTCTTAATGAAGTTTACATTTTCCTGTTTGAACAGTCCCATATTAAACTTTACACTTCCTTATTTGCCTTATTTGACAAACAAATCTACTCAAAGCAGTGCTAAGACTGCTAACCAATGCCAAACAGTGCCAAACAGTGTTATAACAGTGTACTCTATAGTAAAGTCGAATTTATTAATACTTGTGTTAATAAGACCCGCGTTAATAAGCGGCGCATTAAATAAGTAGTGTCGTAAGCTCATGTTTACTTCAAAGGATTTAAAACACCATTTAACATTAAAATGTCCAAAATAATCCTATACATGTATAGACACACAACCCTAATCCCTTTACCCCTCACCCCACCCCACCCCACCCCTACTCCTCCCTACTCCGACCCCAACCCTTCCACCCCCACCCGACCCTTAACCTACCATGACCCCACCCCCAACCCCTACCCCCGATTACCCCCACCCCTAACCCCCACCCCAACCCTATGGGACTTAGGGTGAGATGGGTTGGGTGTAGGGTGTAGGGGGCGGGGGGTCAAGGTCAGGGTAGGGTGGGGTGTGGGGGTGGAGGGTGGGGGTGGAGGGTGGGGGTTGGGGTAGGGTTACAGTCGTTCGGTGGGGGGGTCGGAGTAGTGGCCGGTAGGGGTAGTAGTTGGGGGTATGGTGGTAAGGGGTTATGGAAAGGGGTGGGGTCAAGGAAGGGTATGGTGGGGGTGGGGTAGAGGGGTAACAAATAGGGTAAGAATAAGGTGTAACGGTAAGAGTAAATTCTGTAATTGAAAAAGTTTAAAGTGCTATTTAATTAATACAAGTACGTAGTACATGGTGGCCTGGTGGGTGATATGCCTAGTAAGCGACATTTAAGCATCACTTTAGGTTAGTAAACAACTTGTCTGTACTTCATATGTCTTACTATTCTAAGTGTAATTTTAGCAACGAATTAAACGTCTTCTTAATCCATGTTTTTGTGAGTTTAATACTCCGTATAAGTTCTTATTATAGTTGCAATTTTTGCTTTTATTTACTCCCATCTCCGGATTTTACTTGCATTTTCTCAGGCTATGTTGTTCCGTGAAAGGTGGACAATCGAAGACGTGGAAGAATCAGTAACGGAAAAGCTTGATGATGTTGTCCGTGGTTCCTCGAAAGCAGGCGAGCATCCCGTCCGAACCCATTCGCCTTCCATATTCTCAAAATCATACAACAACGAGGACTATGGCCCTGCGTTTGTCTTCCCGCATCCTATTATCTGTGAGTATTAAGTTCTTCACTGGATTGTTATTCTTTCCATTTACTGTAAATAGTCCTGGATATACTTTCCTCATGCCAATTGATCATAGTGTGAAATAGACAAACCCGAAATTGATTCACTGTTATTGTTCTCATATGGTTTGTTACAATTGACTAATCAGGCAGTCGCAGACGAGAAAGAACTGCTGAGAATACCGTTCAGAGGCAAGCATATTTTCCTTTTTTTTATCGCCCGAAGTGCACATCGTTTAATTATCCCACATCAACTCATATTTCACCTACGGATAAAATGTTTCTTCCCCTTATTGCATAATGATGTGTTTGGTAGAGGTAGAGGAAAAAGAAGGAGAGGAAGTAGGCACGTGAGAGGAAGTTGTTTGGTTGAAAAGGAATAGAGTCGAAATAGAGGGTGAGGAACTATTTTAATTAAATTAGATTTGGTGCGTAAAATATGGAAAAAAAGGGAGGGGTAGGATTGTAGGAAAAAGTGTGGATTTTCACTCCTTTCTCTTCACTTAGGGGGCAGGGGGCGGGGGATAAATTTGACTTAATCATACAAAGGAAAAGCATTCATATCCACAGTTTCCTATCACATTCTGTCTATGGCTCCTTTCTGCAATATCTATATGTTCCCAAACAAATTCAATGTTTAAGGTTCCTTCCATATGAGATGCACTAGACTGTAGCCCTGTGACAATAAGTTCACCTGTTTGAAAGTGGATCTTAAAAACTATATTTGTGTATTTTCGTATGTATGGTTGTGTCCAGGTTCTAGTGCATTATCAACTGGCAGAAACGGGACATTTCTCAGCAGAATGGAACATGCAGTTCCTTGTCGTTTATCTTTTAAGTATGTGCAAATGAAGTCACATATTAAGTTTCCCCAAGTTTCATCAGGAAGCACAGCTGATGCTCCTTCAAGAGACAAGAAGACTGTTCCATATTCAGACCCTCCAAGTAGAGATGATATCATGCGTTTGTATGAATTGTTCGATAGGAGGTAAGCGCACATCTTCAGGGAAAAATGATGGTTGAAAAATGTTCTTATGCTATGTGATTAAGCTGATTTTGTCTACTTGGTTAGGAATAGTGTAGGCTAAGCTAAGCTAATCTCATTGTGATGGTGTCTAATCTGTCACCATTTTTTGTTTTTGTTTTTGTACTGTGCAGTAAGAAGCTTGTTGTTTTGACCGGAGCAGGAATAAGCACTGAGAGTGGGATTCCTGATTATAGAAGGTCACTTCTACTTATAACTTGTCATGCTTCACCTTTTTTCTAATGACAATAAAATGGTGCCTTCAAAATTGCACAGCATATTATCTTCCTGCAATTGATTTGTATTTTTTACATTCCTTCTTATAGCTGGATCAGCCTATTATCTCTGTGAAGCGTGGGTTACAATAATTTACGCCTAAAGTTTTGTTAAAGAAGTTACACTTAAAGAATGGAAATGCTAATTAGTTTTGAAGGACATTATAGCATGCAATTGCATTTTTATTAGAAATTAGCTCTTTTTTTAATCTATAAGAGTGTTATGTGTGATATGATAGTGCAATTTTAACAGTTCTCCTTATGTATTGGCAGCCCAAATGGAGCATATAACACAGGTTTCAAACCAATTACACACCAGGTGATCTAAAGGCATGTCTTGCAAATTCTTTATCCATTCAATCGATTGTACTTTCAATGACTATGATCTATAAAATCATTATTTTCTAATCAATTATACAAGCATTTTCAGCGGCATAATCACCTCTAGTTTTGTGCCTGAGGGAGAGGAAACTATTCATTCAAAAACATAATTGTTAATTGGCATAGTTTTGTTCAATTAATCCACAATTTCACATTTTTAGCTACCTTCAAAAATTGGTGTTCTGATTTTCTCATTAACAAAGCATGGTCATGGACCACGGAGCTCACCATGGGGACACAGATTTTGTTCTAAAGAATAAAATAGATCAACATAACATAGAAACTAATTCGCTGGGACCTTAAAAGTGGTAAACTTGGTGATTAACTCGCGGATTTCTCATTTCACTTTTTTTCTTCTTTTTTGCCTTTCTTAACCAACGGTGCTTAGACACGCTGAGATTTCTCATTTTACTACATTGGAGAAGACTACTTATGCTTAGGCCAAATATCTGGTTATATGCAGTATGCACAGTTTCTTGAATAGTGTTGTAACCTTTATGGGAAACCATTTATAGTCAATGGAGCATGTTTCTTTATAAGTGTAGCTTCTTATGCAATCTGTTGTGACGTTTCACATTATGTGCATATAGGCTCTTTTCTGATAGGGACGTGGACTTCCAAGATTAATAATAATAGTAGAATTAGACTAAGGGGTGTGATATTGTATAAATAAGGGTTTGGGCTAGGTGGTAGTTAGCTTGGGCCGGCCCATAAGGGAATTTATTATAAATAAGAGAGGAGTAGAATAAGGAGGTTAGGCAGAACTTGGGATCTGAACTGGGACCTGGGAGAGACCGAGGGCACTCTCGAATTTGCCTTCAACTGTATCGTTTCTTTTCACTTCTTCAATTTCAGTGTTCATTTTCAACAATTTATCGCCATATTTGCCTGTACCTATCATTGGTATCAAAGCAGTCGACCCAGGGAAGCTTCGATCAACAGTCACACGATAAAAAAACGGAGCGCAGGGAACATCGACGGTCAGAGAGGAAGGTGGCCGCCTCTGCTTTGCGCGCGGACATGGAGAAGCGCGAGATGCGCGTGTCTGCGGAAAAGGGGAAGGAACAACATCGAAGATCCGATTAGCGTGCTTCGCGCGGAAAAGAGGAGAAGCTGTCGGAAAAGGTTGCAAGTGATTGGGCTAAGGAAATGCGCCATATGTTGGGCAAAATTCGTCACTGAATCAAGCGACATAGAGACCGAGCGAGGAGTCCTTCTAGACACCGTCGGCCGATTGAAAATAATCAGGTTTCTTCTTCCGTCGCTCTTCCTGGTTCGCAATCGCAGACATCTTCGCGATCTTCATCTCACAGTTCGCAGCAACGAACTTCGTCTCACAGTTCGAAATCCCGAACTTCATCTTCTCGTTCGCGGACTTCATCTCTGGCTTCGCCCAGTTCGCAGTCGCTAACAGCGTCTTCTCCCAATTCGTTGCAATCTGTTTCTTCTCATCAATCTTCCTCGCCAGTAGTTTCATCCTGTTGGCCAGCTTCTCAGCGAACTATAACTTCTCAGATTTCATCGCCAACAGATCTCTGGGCTTTGCAGGTTTCATCGCACGCCTCTTCCAACAGTGTTCAAGTTTCATCTCCCACAATGAACTCTAAGTTGAGGCCGGCTAAACCATCAATCATGGAACCTGGCCCGAAGGATGAGACGACTCAAACTACCGGATATCTGCCGAAGTATCCAGAATATTTGAAACAGCCTGATAGGGATGAAAATAGAATTCGTTTGGGAAAAGTGAAAGAGCAATTGCCACGGCAACTAGAGGATCAGTCTCAACTCTTTCTAGTAGGGACATGAATTGGTGCATTATCAACTACAACTGTGTTGCTGAAACCGGGGCAGGCTGTTTCTAGAGCCCCTAATGGGGATGATTCCAATCAACGAGGCGCTGATGGTACTAGAAATTCTACCACCAGGGGTGTGGAGGTTAAGGAACTGCCTAGTAGGACTATGTTGGGAGTTACCCTCCGTCATAGTTCAACAGGTGAAGTGGCAAACGGAATTGAAGTTTTATTTAGCTCAATGTCTCCTGATAAGAAGAAGCAGATTCAGGTTGAGGAAAATGCTGGTGTTCACGGTATAAATACAAATTCTGCTACTGGGAAGTATGGAATTACTCAAAACTTTGCATCTCAAGAGACTAAAGCAACTATACCATTCAGAAAGTTTCTGGTGGTTGAGCATAGCCTTCTAATTGATGAGGTCCGTACTTTAATAGATTCTGGCCCGGATGGGAGAGGAAGCAAGGGTTCTAGACTTTGCCTTGCTAATCTGGTTACGCCCTCGCTGGGTTTTCAGCCTATAGGGGAAAAGAAAGAAGAAAAATTCTCAGATTTGGGACTTTGGCAGTTAGATAATCTGAAATCGCATGACAGCACTGTTGTGCACAACTGCTGGCGGCTGTTGAAGTTTTATGAGACAAAGCCTGCTATTACAAATCATTCTATCATTGACACTAGCTGCTGTACAGAAAAGTGGATGAAAAATGGAGAACTTTGCATAGGGCTTGTTGGAGACAATGAGTTGAGTAATTCGAATAACATTAAAACTGCATCCAACACATTAATAATCTCAGAAGTTATAATCCTTGAGGAGTCTCATGAAAACAGGGAAACACGTGTAGCTAGTGAGTGTTTGAAGTCTACTGCAACAAATGAAACTGCACTCGACATAATTCTGTAGCAACACCATTTGTGATTTTGAAAGAACGAGTACTGAAGCTTCTGGTTCAGCAATCCAGGAGATATTGGGAAGGAAGAGGCTCCAGGATGAAGATGAAGTTCAAGATCAAGGCTGTGTCCTATTACCCACCTTGAGGACAAGGTGTTTTTTCATGGGGGGAGATATGACAGGGACATGGACTTCCAAGATTAATAATAATAGTAGAATTAGACTAAGGGGTGTGATATTGTATGAATAAGGGTTTGGGCTAGGTGGTAGTTAGCTTGGGCCGGCCCATAAGGGAATTTTTTATTAATAAGAGGGGAGTAGAATAAGGAGGTTAGGCAGAACTTGGGATCTGAACTGGGACCTGGGAGAGACCGAGGGCACTCTCGAATTTGCCTTCAACTGTATCGTTTCTTTTCACTTCTTCAATTTCAGTGTTCATTTTCAACAATTCATCGCCATATTTGCCTGTACCTATCATTTTCCCCTGACTAAAATGTCTGAGATAGACTCATGGCTTTCAAAATGTAGGAATTTATCCGCTCAGTTAAGGCACAGAGACGTTATTGGGCAAGAAGCTATGCTGGATGGCGGCGGTTCACAGCTGCACATCCTAGTGCTGCTCATATTGCCTTAGCTTCTCTTGAAAGAGCAGGCCAGATTAGTTATATGATAACACAGAATGTGGACAGGTAAGTCTGGTCTGCATATACATAATAGGGGACCAATGAGACTACTTTCTTAAATTTCTGTTTCAGGCTGCATCATCGTGCTGGCAGCAACCCACTTGAATTGCATGGTACTGTATATACTGTTATTTGTATTGAATGTGGTTTTACTCTAGCTCGTGAACTATTTCAGGATCAATTGAAGGCTCTTAATCCCAAGGTTGGTTTTAAATTTTTACTACTCCATCCGTAACATTCATATCTTCCCATCATACCCTCAATAATTTAAAAAATAATACACTACTACACCTACTTTTTTTGGATTTATCCTTCATTCCATCACATTATTTCACCATCTTCCCATCATACCCTCAATAATTCATACTCCATTTCACTATTCTTAATCTCACCCACTTTGGAAGTGGGAAGATATATCTGATACGGAGGGAGTATTTATTTGGATTCAGAGCTAGTGTTTCCTTTAAATACCTATCTCCATCTTAGTATTTGATGACCATGGATAGTCATTCTGTTTTTAAACTCTGCAAGCTTATATTCGTTTTAGTTACTATTCACTCCACGACTTTCACTCATACATTCATTCACAGTTGGAGGTCATCTATGTTCTTTCTTTAGTCTTAGTACTCTGAATTCTTCTGACCCTTCATCAATTGCATTGTCTTGGAAATAAGCATGTAAAATATTTTTAACTTTATGAAGGATTATGCGGTTCACGACTTATAGTTATGCCTCCATGTTAATTACCAATTACAATTGTCACTGTTTCAATTTAAGTGAACAACATCTATTGTGCAGTGGGCAGAGGCAATTGAAAGTTTGGAGTACGACAGCCGAGCAGACAGGAGTTTTGGAATGAAACAAAGGCCTGATGGAGATATTGAGATTGATGAAAAATTCTGGGAGGAGGATTTCGATATCCCCGTCTGTCCAAAATGCAATGGGTTGCTAAAACCCAATGTAAGTCATATTTTGTCATTTTATTTGAAGGCTAAAGGGTCAAACAAGTACATGAACTAACTTAAAGTGTTCAATTAGCCCCTTATTTAGGAGGTTCTGCCCGGTCGTTGCCAATTGGGGCGGTTCCCGGTTGAATTTTTTGATGAATTTTTTTTGAGCATCTTCTTCATTAAGTCTAGTTTACCCATATCAAATTTCAGCTAAAAATTAAATCGGGAAGGCAGTCAAATGATTTTCCGAAATGTACTGCGCTGTTTAACTGCACAGTTATCTTCAAAAAATCATTTGACTGTCTTCCCGGTTGAATTTTTAGTTGAAATTTGGTATGAGTAAACTAGACTTAATGAAGAATATGCTCAAAAAAATTCATCAAAAAATTCTACCGGGAACTGCCCTAATTGGCGACGGCCGGGCAGAACCTCCTATATAAGGGGCTAATTGAACACTTTAAGTTAGTTCATGTACCTATTTGACCCTTTAGCCTTATTTGAAAGATAGCTAATGGCTGTTGTTCAGAGGCAAAGCTGTGGAAGTTCCTTTGTTGTTGTATCATGATGCTTAAAAAGATAAGAGGCCATAATTTGAAAGAAGCATTTGCTCTGTCGATTCAATCAAATCATTGTCCAAAGGACCATTCTAGCTCCTTTTGGGCATGCCCTTATATATTGTAGGGCTGCATCACCAGTAGTCCTGTCAAGATTAGCTTGATTTATGCGGAGTAACTGTTAGTGTAATTTGCAGGTAGTCTTTTTTGGAGATAATGTCCCCAAAGGGAGAGCGGATTCTGCAATGTTGGCTGCCAAAGAATGTGATGCTTTTGTTGCACTTGGTTCTTCTTTAATGACCATGTCCGCATTCCGACTTATTAGGTAAATGTATTGCATTTAATATGTTTCGACTTGATGACTTCCTTCCTGCATCCAAAAACCTCAGTTCAATTTTCTAAATTTAGAATACAAAATACATGTTTTACTTTGCCTCTTTTCCAATTTGACTAACATAAAACAATTCTTCAATATCTCTATCTTTTCAAAAACCAGAAACCTTTTTTTTTGTGTTTCCAAAGTAAAAATATGACCTAATATATCACCAATAATGGTTCCACCTACAGTAACGAGTGACCTCTCATTGTCATTGTCAGTGACCCCACGTCCTCACCCTACTCCCACTCCACCCCTCCCTCCTCACCCACCCCCTTCTCCCCACCTTTCTCCATTTCTACTCTGCTCACCCCTCACTACCTTAACCATCACCAACACAACCTCTATGATTACAACTACTCTCCTACTACAGTTAAATATAAATATTTCTGATTGACCAACTGCCCATAACGTTTATTACTGGTGATCACTACCGTCTCCAGTGCCATGAGACTTTGGGTGAAAAACTTTTTTTTTGCATTGTATTTGATATATATTGGGATCATGTATGAGTATAGTATACCGAAATTCAAAATTTTTATTGGTCTAGTGACTTTATTCAAAATACATAAAATGCTATGGATTTCACGTAGAGTAAAATTTTCAGTGCGATGACAGTATGAACTAGTTTGGGGTGCCCTATCGAATCAACCCTATCACCGTCCATTGCCACCTCTAGCTACCATCTTATCCACTACTGTCATCGACCATCACCGCTGCGCCCGATCATCACTACTGCCATCTTTCAACAAGTGTAATGCCACCAAACGCTATCACCATCACCGACCATCATCACCTTGTCAACTTGTTTCTGATCTTACTTGAAAAACTCATCCTAGCTGTAGCTTCACCATCCTTTTCATTAAAGTAGTAAATTCAGATGTTAAACTTTTAAATTTGGTTTAACAGAACTGCACACAAGGTTGGTGCAGCCACTGCGATTGTGAATATTGGTGAAACAAGAGCTGATGATTTTGTACCTCTAAAAATCAATGCCAGACTTGGAGAGGTAAAGCTCTATTTGTTGCCTTGTAAGGTTCTTGCACTATTTACTTCATTCTGTTTGGCCTTCATTTTTGCAGATACTTCCGAGATTGCTTGACTTTGGATGCCTTGTTATCCCTGCCGTTTAATAAAAGTTCTCTGAATGGGACATATTCATATTCTTCAAAGCTGGGCAGGGTTTTTGGTGTCTTTTGTACAAGTCGTCATCTTCTTCTGTTTCTTTCCTTTCGGATCCTTGATGTAATTGTATGGCCATTGGTATTGAAAATAAAACTCGTTTTTCCTCTTGTGTACACTCTTAAACATAAGGCTGGTGTGGGCAGTGTGGCGTAATTCCCATCAGTTCTTGTATGGTTGCCATCCTGTCATAATTCCTTTTGGTGTGGCATCATTCCTATGTCTGTTCTTATATTGTTACCATCCATATTTTGGCCGGGGCTAATAAAAAGTGCAGCCAGGTGCACATTGGTGTCCATGCAAGGTGAGGGTCCGGGGAAGATTCCTACTAAAAGTGTGTATAAAGAGTAAGTCTTCCTTTGTCATTTTGGCTAGAGGTCGCGCCCAAGATTTAAATCCATGACCTAGTCATACAACAACACCATAACCGGTGTGCCTAAGGCCTCCCAAAACTTAAAGGGCATCATAAAATTTTGTATTTTATAATGTGTTTTCTATTGTTTATCTCCTTTTTTCATATTTTCGTTTTCCAATAAAATGTAGAAACCTTAAATATTTTTAAATTTATTAAATTGCATAACTGGTTACATAGAGCATGTTTTATAATCTTTATTTCCGTATTGCTTATTTTTGTTTTATTTTCATGAATCAGTAGAAAACATGTTACACAATGTCCCTTGCATTTTTTCTTTTGACAAAATATCCCCTTCAATTCCTTTTTATTTACCCCATGTGCCTTGAATAGGGATGGATTGGGCCCAGCTGCCCAGGTGGCCCAACCTGGGAAGCCGGGACTGGTATGGTTTGTTCCGCCCTGGGACTGGTTTTTCGGTACTGGCATCGACTCGGGACCCGGACTGTGGATAGAATGGGTCAAACTTTGGGCTTAGTGGTGGACTCGGGCCGGGCGGCCCGAACTGGCCCGGCCCGGCTACTGTGTGAACCGGCCCGGCCCGGTGGCCCGGTCCACCGGCGGTTCGGGTCGAACCGGCCCGGTGGTTCCCGGTTCCGGGCCCGGTCCGGGCCGGATTTTAATTTTTTTTTTTTTGAATTTTTTTTAAGTTTTGGGTTGGATTAGGTATTTTGAGCCATTTGAGGTGGTTTGGGGTGGTTTGGGGTTGAGGGGGAGGGGTAGGCGGTTAAAAAGGAGAACCAAAAAAAAAAAAAAAATAGACCGGTTGGCCCGAACCGGCCCGGCCCGGTTTGGCCCGGAACCGGAACCGGAACCGTCCACCGGCGGTTCGGGCCCGGGCCCTATTTTTCTGGCCCGAGGCCTGGCCGGGCCCAGGCCCGAACCGGGCCCGAAACGGCCCGAGTCCACCCCTGTTTGGGCTGGACTTTTTGGGACCGGCCTGCGGGGCCTGGGCCTGATCCGGGCCTAATAGCTACTTTTTCAATTATTTTTAAAATTAAAGTGTGCGTGATCCGAACAGCCGGACAAGTACTGTTTGGGCCCAGACTGGTACCGGTACCGAATCAAACCGCGTCGGTACCGGGCTTCAGTTTTTCACTACTGCGACTTGCTTGGCCCGACCTAAGTTCAACCCTAGCTCTGAATAAAGTTTTAAGAAAATGAAATTGTGTTAAGATTTATTTAAAAAGGAAAGAATGTATATCAAGAGACAATTGTTTCCTTGAAAACAAACGTATAACTATTTAGGGATGACTTGACTTTGAAAAAGTTTTTTTTTTTTTTTGAGGGAGAAAAAGTTTTTTTTTGTACACACCTAAGTTGTACATGTTCGTTGAGTCGTTGTACACGTGTTTTGTCAGTGTATAGATTTTTTTTCTATGTTTTGTAAAGTGCTGTGACAAAATTTGGGACAATTCACTTTAATTCTTTAAAGAATAAAAATAATTATTTGTGTATAAACAAAATAGGGTGTGTACATGTGTGTACACGAAGCAACTTTGATTATATTCTTCTCTATGCAACTTGTAAGTGGTGATTGGGAAAGGAAGTAGGGCAAAAAACATAATTGTTTTCATTTTGATTTCAACATAATAATGCTATCCCAATGATGAGCATTTTATAATTCACTAGTGCTTATCAGGGTGTGTAAGTATAGGGAAATATTAATGTCATATTGGTTTAGAGATCTAAATGTGTGAGCTAGCCCTATTTGACCGTTAAAGGATTTCTTGTAAAAAGAACTAAATAGTAACACCACAAAATAAAGTACTAAATAGTAACCTAACACAAATACACAACTTAAATTAAAAGGGAAGCTTAATTACATAAAGATTAATCACATGATGGCAAGGGTACAAATTCTGTTACCACTCTCATTGTGGACTACTAAGTGTTCCCAATGGTAATTTTCATATTTCAAAGGCAATCCAAAGTCATACAATGAAGAACAATTAGCTCAATTCCCCCCTATCTTAGGTAGGGGTGGACTCGGGCCAGGCGGCCCGCCCCAGAACCGGCCCGACCCAGTCACTATTTGAACCGGCCCGGCTAGGGACCGGTTCGGGTAGGCCCGACCCGCTGGGGTTCCGGGCCAGGCTCAGGTCCCTCAAAAGGTGAACCGGCCCGGTCCGGGCATATTTATTTATTTTTTCTTTTTTCTTTTTTGATTTTTTTTTTAAGTTTTTGGGTTGGGCTGGGTATTTTGGGCCATTTGAGGTGGTTTGGGGGTGAGGGGGGTGGGTTGGGGGTTAATTAGGAAAAGCCAAAAAAAAAATTAAATTGAACCGAGGCCCGACCCGGACCCGGGGGTTACCCTGGCCGGTTCCGGGCCTCCCCTTTCATGAACCGAGGCCCGGCCGGGCCCAGGCCTAAACCGGCCCGAACCGGCCCGAGTCCAACCATAATCTTAGGGATGGACTCGGTTCACGTTCTCGGACCAGTAGGGACCAAAGTCAACTGGTTCTCGGGACTGGATCAGACTCGTTATTTTCAGTTGAAGACCTGTGCCCGAACCGCCCCCCATCACCGTTGGTCCCGGTTAGTTTGGAGACCGGAATTGTCTGGTCCGAGTTCCTTTTTTTTTTGTTTTTTGTTTTTGCATTTTAAGGCTTATAGGCATTTTAAAAAAGTGCGTATCCATTTAAAAGCTAAAAATGACAGGAGGGAGGTTGGGAGGGTTTAAACACGTAAAACATTAAAAATAAAATATGAAAAACGAGATTGGATTGGCCCAAAAAAGTATACCCAATGTCAGTCTCAATTCAACGGGGGCCAACTCTTAGGATTGGCTAGTCTGCGACTGGAATCGTCTTGGAACCAGGACTGTCCATGCCTATCCTATTCTCCTCCCATTCTCAAAGTGTATAAGTAGTTTGTGGATACGTCAATGGAAACAATACAAGCTTCCTTGGGGTCCTTAACAAGACCTAATAGTTATGTTGCTATCAAAGCAAGAGAATTTCATTAGACATTTTAACAAACACATATTGTGCACAAGTTTTTTTCCCCTCAAATTCTCTACAAATATAAATCACATCCTATTAGAGGAATGTTTGGATCCACTTTTTAACTATTTATGCTCCTTAAGGGAGCAGAAACAAATATTTGAATGTTTTGGTAAAGTGCAGAATTAATTCTGAATGCTCCAAATTACTCCGGAAGCAGTTTTTAGAAGTGAGAAGATTCGTTTCTACATATTTTTTTTATTCTGTTTCTACTTTAAAAAAGCTTAAGCATAATCGATTCCAAACACCATCTAGATCACCCAAATCCCTATCTCCACTACCACTCATGAAGTCACGATTATTACAGAATCCACATAAAATTGCAAAAGTAGGTCATGAACACAAAACAATAGCCACTACATACAGAGTATATTCCTACAGACGGAGGGAGTATATTCATGGCAGAGTGATATTCAGTTATCTGTCTTGAAAGGCGAATCTCCTCTGTTGTTTCTCAAGAATTATCTAGAAAATACTTATTCACACTGTAATTTAAAGAAATCTAGAAATATAATATCCAAAAGAATGAAAAGATGATCCGTCCATTTCCATTTCTATTTCTATTTCAGCGGAAAAGTAACTACTGCACTATTTTGTGTAGGGTGATTTGTTCATCTTAAGCAGTCAAGTTCAGCGTTTGGAGAAAATCGGGTTGATAAGACAAAAAGTGGGTTACTATGTTTTTCTAATTCATTTAAAAAATTGAATGAAACTGTGTTTTTATATCCATTACATTAAATTTTATAAAATTACAAAGCATAAGTTTTTTTTTTTTCATTTCTTAAAAATATATTAGTATGGTAGCAGTTTTGCCTAACACTGGAGGGAAAGAATAAAAAAAAAGCACACTGAATAGATTAACAGTGATCCAAGACAAGAAAAGAATAATAGAATATGTAGGGTAATGAAGAAGAATACATACAATACCTTTTTAAACCACAATTTCCAAGTAACTTACCTTTCCAAAGAATCTCAATGAGTTTAAAAGGAAAAACACGAACTTAATGGCCCCCAATCTTCAAAAATTTCTTTCCTCAACCCTCAAATAGTCTCATTCAAGATTTAACAAGTTTGGGGGGAGATGGGGGGAAGAACAATGGTGATGATGGTCATCCTTGTGATGGCATGTGCTTCTTTCGGTTCCGGGTCCACCGATCAGCACCGGAAATGGACATGGATTTCATCAGGTTCTGATGGATCATCCTCGCCCTCGTCCTCGTCCTCATCACCATCGGTTTACACTCAAGCAGGACCGTCTTCAATTGTTCTGCCGCTCTATGGCAACGTTTACCCCAAGGGGTATGTGATTCTACTTCTCTGTGTTCCTGTTTGCTTTATCATGCACACACACTTACTTAAACATACATGCATATATGCAATGGCGTATCCAGAAATTTTTGTCGGTGGGGGCGGACTGGCACTAACTACCTCACATGTCATAAACAACCACATTAAGATAAAATAGTGTAAAATCAAATAAAAAACAAAATATTCGTGGGACAAAAATATTACTCCATACGATATAATACTTAAAAGTTTCACGGAAGATAATTTTTTACTTTGCTAAAAATAAATTTTAATCACATATTTTGTAATTTATTCAAAATTATTTTAGCAATAAGAATCTAATAAGAAATGAGTCAAATATTTATTTAGAATTAACTTAAGTAAGGAATGCACAAGTATGTTTAAAAATCTATTTATATTAAATGTGAGAATGTAATTGTAAAACTTCACAAATTATATGCAAATTTTTTAACTGTAATTAAATTGAAATAGTTCAAAGTAAGCCAAAATTTAAATACAATGTAAAAGTAACTTTAAATTGGTTTAGAGCTCTAGTAAAAAAAACTAAAAAAGTAATTTAGAGATCTTGTAAAAAAAGTAGTTTAGAGCTCTCAGTAAAAAAAAAGAGTAGTTTAGAGCTTCAAATAGTAAAACAAAACAAAAAAGGTTGAGAAGATGAGAGTCAAACTCTAGACCAAGCAGGAAATCTGAAACACGGACCACCTACAACACCACTCCACTGCAGCCTATGTAGCACCGATACTGGTATGCGGAAACGGGTACGAGGATACGTCAAAACAAAAAAAAAAGTAGGATACTGATATGGGACCATATTTATAAATATTAAAAGTTATGGGGGTGTATTTACAAATATTAAAAGTTACAGGGGTCTATTTATAAATATTAAAAATAAATATTTTTTGAAAATACACACACACACACACACATATATTCATTGCATTAAAGCATTTTTCATTTTTAAGATACTTAATAATAAATTCATAATATTTCTCATATACACTAGTGCATCTCGAAATATAAATATAGTCAATAAGTCATTAATTTAAAATGAGAAATAAGTCTAACAACTACAATCTTGAAATTAAAAGTGCAAGTACCCAATTTGGAGTATGAGTTAATGACTTAATTCGGATACAGTCATATAGGCCCATTATTTGATTACCAAGTAAAATGTAGTTTTAGATTTTCATATTTTTTAGAATTTTATTAAGTAAATTTTGAGATTTTGTTTTTTTAAAAAAATTGATACGGGTATCCGTCAGGATACGAGTATCGGAAACTTTCAAAAAATTACAAAAAAATGGAAACTTTTAAAAATTGCAGATACGGCCTGGGAACGTACGGTACGAGTATCCTAGAGTATCGGATACGGGAACGTATCGGATACGCCGATACGCTACCCTAGGGAAGTATCCGTGCTTCATAGACTGCAACTTCTGATATGTTATTTAGTTCGTTTAAAACATATAAGTTACTCTTATTAATACCTATATATATATATATATAATTTTATATTTGATATATATATATATATATATATATATATATATATAGGGGTCGGGTGGGGGTTGAGGGGGGGAGCTGCCCCCCTGCCCCCACGCTGCATCCGCCACTGCATATATGCACATATATATATATGTACATACGGACATACAAGTGTGTGTGTGTCTATATATGTGCCCACGTACATAGTTACATACTTATATGTGTTTGAGTCTGTCTATACGTACATACATGATACACTACATATATAAGCCCAAGAATATGAAGTATAATGTCATAAAAGAATTTGTTAGGTAAGTGCATGAATTTCGTCAGATAATGTGATTGTTGTGGATTCTCTCAATGGAAAGAGTATGATTTGCAAAGATTATTTTCATTAATGTCACATATATTGCTTAAAGGGAATTGAATATTTATCTCTCAGATTTTATTTTGTCCAAGTGGATGTTGGGCACCCTTCAAAGCCTTATTTTCTTGATCCGGATACAGGAAGTGACCTTACTTGGCTTCAATGCGATGCTCCCTGTGTCCATTGTACAAGGGTATAACATAATTGTCTTATTACATTTCTACAACATGATATAGACATACCTCATTTTTGCTTTTCATAATGAGAGAAGTATTTCAATCCTTCAAATCCCAGGCACATCACCCTTTCTACAAGCCCAACAATGACCTTGTGATTTGCAAGGACCCCCTTTGTGCCTCTCTGCATCCAGCTAATTATAAATGTGACACTCTAGAGCAATGTGATTATGAGGTCGAGTATGCTGATGGCGGTTCATCTCTCGGTGTCTTGCTCAATGATGTCTTTTCTCTTAATCTTACCAGTGGGGTCGCGGTTAAACCTCATCTGGCTCTCGGGTCAGTATCTTCCTTAATCTCATGAAGCCCATGAGTTTTAGATTTTAGACATATTAAGGTGTTTTTATGCTTCCAATTTGAACCAGGTGCGGATATGATCAGATACACGGTCCATCTCACCACCCTTCAGACGGGGTACTTGGCCTTGGAAAAGGAAAAACCAGCATTCTATCTCAGCTAAAGAACCTTGGTCTGGTGAGAAACGTGGTCGGCCACTGCTTGAGTTCACGAGGTGGAGGGTATCTCTTCCTTGGGGATGATGTTTATGACGCTTCTCGTGTCACTTGGACACCAATGTCACATGATATCACGTAATGTGCACTTCTCCTATGCAAACACCCCCATCCCATCCTAAGTAAAGCAATGAAAAGCAAAATGGTGAGTTTTGAGTCTAAATATGAGAAGGTAAAAATGACAGGAATCACTATGCTCCAGGGCTTGCAGAACTACTTTTTGGCAGTAAAACTACCGGAGTAAAGAATCTACATGTGGTGTTTGACAGCGGGAGCTCTTTTAGCTATTTAAATACGCAACCGTATGAAGCTTTACTTTATTCAGTAAGTTCTTACATTCGTTCTTCCCCCGGAGCTTCTTCCTTTTCATTTCATGACCATGAGTGGTGCCACTTGTTCTGGTAGCTGGAGAAAGAACTGAGAGGTAAGCCCCTAAAAGAAGCAGATGATGACCCAACTCTACCCTTATGCTGGAAGGGAAGGAAGCCTTTCATGAGCATCAACGAAGTCAAGAAATACTTCAAGTCCTTCTCACTCAGCTTTGCCGGTGGATGGAAATCCAAAACTCTGTTTGAGATCCCCCCTGAGTCATATCTTATCATCTCAGTAAGTGCTTGTAATTAACACTTTCTAAGGGCTTGTCTGGTTTTGGGATTACAGAGGGGTGGAAGGGGAAGGGCATTATATTTCTTGATCAAATTAGTATTATCTCTACATTTAGATGGTTGCCCATAAAGTGAAGTTAAAAAACTATATAGACACACATGAGCTAACTAATCACAGTTATTTGTAGTCTTAAACTAAGAATAGACAAGTTGGTAAAAATAAAATCAAACCATCCCCTTTCGTTCCCTCTGAAATCCATGAACCAAACGAGCCCTTAAATCTTATACTTATACTTGTATGGTATTGTGGCAGTCAAAGGGCAGTGTATGCATGGGAGTTCTGAATGGCACTGAAGCAGGACTGCAAAATTTCAACATAATAGGAGGTATGATATTTCAACTCTTCAATTTCTTGGATAATACAGAATGGAACACGGAACACTGGCTTAAAGAAAAAGCTGAATCCTTGCTTTGGGTTATCACATTTTTTTGCAGATGTGTCTATGCAAGACAAAATGGTGATTTTTGACAATGAGAAGAGTGCAATAGGCTGGACTCGTGCAAACTGCGATCGCCCCCCAGTGTCCAACATTGTTTTCATCTAAATTCGGAGGAGTTTTAATCTTCTCATTTGTAATAATAGCTATTGGAAAATGGTCAAATAAGATCTCCAGCTATTTGATTTAATGCCATTGAGACCTCCAAATTATAAACCTTCGATGACAAAATGAACTAATCAACTAAAAATCATGCAATCGATTTTTACCTTTTGGCATCCCGTAGCCCTTTCCAAACTTATAATCCAGAAATTAATCCACATAACAGAAATTACGTTATTTTTGAAAGTAACAGAAATGAAGTTAATACATGGAGGAATTACGTTATTCTGCCATATGAATAGCAGAATGTATGCGGACATGAATGGAAGCTATGATGTATGGGATCGGAATGATGAGTGGCGACTGCAATTCGTTGGCTCAAAGGAAAGAGTGTTCTGAGCCAGATCATATGTCACCATCATATTCTGCTGTACAAAGTTCCCCAAAACCCCCGGTGATGACCCTCCACCTCCAGCGTCGCCGATTGCCAAACAAGTGACATTGACCAAACGACCGTCCACCTCATCCTCTTCTATTATGAACACATTGCCTTGCGGGAGGCTCAGATTTGAGGCGGCGGCGCCGTGGGTGCCCTGCAAATGGAGCGTCAGCCTCGGGAAGCTGATCTCATTGCTCGGCAGCGTGAAACAAGGTAGATCTGAACTAGAGTCCGAAGAAAGCTTCAGCTGCTTCTCCACCTCACCGACGACCGCCTTGAAGGCTGCCGTCGGAAGGTAAGTGAGGCTGGTGCCGGTGTCGACAATCATCCCTCCACTCCCGTTCCGATTCAGCTGGAACGCCTCCTTGGGCACTGATTCCAGCCGTGTCTCGCCCACCGAGATTCCTTCAACGGAAACATAGTAATACTGCGATTTGGCCGAGTCATTCGTTGACGGATTTCTTACCAATGGGGTCATGGTGACGTGCTCTCCCCCGCCTGCGGAGGATGATGCCCCTCCTAGACTAAGCGTGCCGGTTGAATTGCTTCCCAGGCCCGGCAAGCAGTAGGAGAATTGGGAGACGTTGAGCTGGGAGACCAAGGACAGCGGCCCGCGGCTGAGACCAACCAAACCCGAGTTGTGGTTGAACCCTATCCCGCCGCTATTGTTTTGGCCGCAGAGGAAGGTGATGTTTGGGAAAGAAACGTGGTCTCGAAATGTCAAAGTCTCTGAGGCGGCGTAGCCTTCGACCGTCGACCCATCGCCGTACTTGATGCGGCGGGAGCAGCTGCCGCCGGTGTCATTCCTGAGCCGGCAGGCGTGGAAAGAAGTGGATTTCTCGGGGTTGAAGATGGGAGTGTCTTGAGGATAACAGTGGACACATGGCTGGCACTGAGTCCACATCAATTCACTGCCCGTGTCCATGAGAGACCTCAATTTCACCGGCGGAGTCCCGATGTGTAGGTCCATCAAGAACCCCGCGTTTTCAGGCGCGGGAAGTACCGGGGACATCGCCACCTTCCCCTCGCGCTCCGGCAGCGATGCCGCAGCAGTAGCAGCCCAGGCGCCGAACCTCTCGGCGTCGCGCTTTATGCCGATTCGCAATTGCTCCAGCCTGGACCAATTTTCGCCGGCACTGACGCCGTGATGTCTGCTCAGACTCATCCGAACCCCCACAGGCGACGCGGAATTCAGCGTCAAGCTTGAAACCCAAAAAGTGATGATCACCGTCGCCCAAACCTTCAAAGGAAACCAGCCACCCATTCTATTATATTCTCGCCGGCCGGCCGGCCCTCTCTCTCGGTTATTGTACTTCGGTTCTTTGTGGATGGTGAGTATCAAACACCTTATTGATTCCGCCCCTTATGTAGCCCAATGGCCACGGCTTAATTGGAAGATTGAAATTATATTTAACTGGACAGGCGAAAATACTTTTACTCTTTGCTTAATTAGAGCTTCTCATCTCCACCTAATTGTGGTTTGACTTGCTATTTACACCAACATTATTTCCAAAGTAAAATACTACCTATACTAATTTATTATTAATAATACTTCCTCCGTCCCAAAAAATATTTTCCACTTTCCTCTTTGGGTTGTTCCAAAAAATACTTTCTATTTCTCCTTTTGAAAAGTTTTTTGTGACTCAAATTCATTTACCTTTTTCTTACTCAACGACAACCATACATTTCCACTTTATTCACACTTTTTTAATAAGCGAGCCAAGTCAAATCGAACAGTATTTTTTGTAGCTTTTTTTGGCAGATACTTGTGGAGTTATGGTAGATTTTTTTTGTGGACATTGATTAGAATGTATTGTCAGATTCGATTCGACAGTTTTGTTTTTCTCTAGGGCTTCAACTATGTCGGCCGTTGGAGCCTTTTTCCGATTTCGACTTTGTCGAAGATCGGCTTTGTTATCCCTTGGTCGCTGGTGCTCGGCTGGAGTCCAGGTCAGACGCGGAGGGCTGAGATCGGTGGAGGGGGGCAGATTTGCTGTCATGGCTCGAGGAGATCGGCGTTGTGGTCAAGGTTCGAGGATGTGGCGTTGCTGTTGTCGTTGGAGGAGATCGGCACCGCCTATCCGTTTACTCTGGTCGCACGGAGCAAGGATGAGTTTGGTTATGCAGAGACGGAGGATTAATGCATGGTCTTTGGCCACCAAAGGTCACGGAGGATCAATTAACATGGTACCAGTGGTACGACCTCCTCTTGAACCACCACCATGGGATGTACGAGGTGCTAGAGTTCGTGAACGTTTTTCTTGTAGTTCTTATCTCTTTGTTATTTGTTTTTTTGTGTCCACTTTTGTTGTTGGTTTTGACAGTTTGTTTGAGTTTTTAGCCTCTCTTTATGTCATTGGGTATGGTTGGATCTATGGGAACAGGTTTGACTGTGTCAAGTCCACTACATGGTTAGCGATTCGTGTTGCTCTCTCAGGGGTGACCGTCTCAAAGTCTCACCATAGGGTTACAGTCGTAGTTGTTGGAGTTTTAGTTGACGTCAGTTTTGTTTTCCCTTTGCTTGATGTAACGATCCTGAATCTTTTGATATGAATAGAGGCTCATTTGATGATAAAAAAATAATACTCCCTCCGTCTCAAAAAATACTTTCCACTTTCCTTTTTGGGTTGTTCCAAAAAATACTTTCTATTTCTCCTTTTGAAAAGTTTTGTGTGACTCAAATTCATTTACCTTTTTCTTACTTAACGACAACCATACATTTCCACTTTATTCTCACTTTTTTAATAAGCGAGCCAAGTCAAATCGAGTAGTATTTTTTGTAGCTTGTGGAGTTATGGCAGATTTTTTTGTGGACATTGATTAGAATGTATTGTGAGTTTGTAACTGATTTGATGTTCATTTTATGGTGACAAAAATCTTAATGTTAAAACAAACATATTGCCTAGGCTAATGAAAGGAACTACTAATATTATGTTCACTTATGTTGTGAATAAAATGCAAATGAAAATGAAATGATGATGTTGTGAATAAAATGCATGTTTTTTTATGCAACAAGATGACAGTTTGGGAGTCCAAAACAGACGACAATCACGTGGTGATACCCAGATTGGCTAGGTAGCGGATATTCTTCTGGATGACGGTGGCGTTATTTCTGTCAAAAGTAGCATGGATATGCTAGGATTCTATATATGTATATTTTTTTTACTATAAATAGACTTAATTAGAAACTCATTAAGACTAATTTTGTAAAGTTAAAACATATTTAGTCTTACGAAATATTGAAGTTCTATGTGTACACTTTTTCACTGTTTTAGTCTTATTTAGAAATTGACTCTTCTCAATGAAAAATTAGAATATGAAAGTTACATGAGAGTGTTTGTTAAAAGTATTTTCACAAAAATTTAAAATTTATGAATCACAGACAAATTTAATAACTGAAACATAATCCAAATTTTACGATACATAAAAAAATCAATATAATGTGGTCAACTTTTTTCACATGGAGGAGGTGGTAGGTGTTTTGCCCTAAAATGGTGGATGTTACTTTTATATTTTTATATTTTTATTAAATAAAAATTCAAAATGTTCCGTTTTCAGTTACTATCATTATTGATGTTCTTTGTAATCTTTAGCCATTTTCATTGGGAGAAATTCAAAAATAAAAGTAAAACGCGCTCAAAATTTATTAAAAATAAATATATTTGTAATTGAAAAAATCATAGGAGTTGGAGCTTGGTCACAGGACTGTTGTCCGCCGGTTGCAACTTGCAAGAACTCATCTGCCGCCAGATAGACTGCCCTAGTCCGTAACAGGTTTGACCGGGTCACTGGGTAAATTCGGTTTTGACCCAGTTTGCGGGTTTGCAGTGTACCGGAACGGGGACCCACCAGGTCGCCGGGTTCCGGGTCGACCCGCCCGGTCCTGGACCGAAACATTGGGGAAAGAAACGTTGCCTTCAAATGTCAAGCTCTCTGAGGCGTAGTAGCCCCAGGGGTTGGGGAACTTTGTACAGCATATTCTCCTCCCCATTGTTCTTTCTTTGCCTCCACCACCACCATGTCTCTCTTTGCTTCTCCACTTTGCCGCAACTACATTCCGCCTCTATTCGCCACCTCTTTCCACCATCATAGTCTGGTTTTTCCATTCCCGACTCTCTTTTTTAGTTTTGGTGTAGATTTTTCCAATTTCATTGAACATTCTGATTCGTGATTTTTTCTTTCTATGTTCATTATATTAAATTTCTGAATTAATTGGAATTTCTAGTGTTTACGTTTTTTAGATATTGGCTTCATATTTTGCTACATTTGTGACAACTACATGTAATACTTATGGCAGATATTTTTGTGACATCGATTAGAATGTATTGTCAATTCAATAACTGATTTTATGTTCATATTATGGCAAAAAAATCTTATTGTTAAAGCAAACATATTACCAATATTATATTCATTTATGTTGTGAATAAAATGATTTTTTAAACAACAAGATGACAGTTTGAGAGTCCAAAATAGACGGCGATCATGTGGTGATACCCAAAGTGGCTGGGCGGCATGGAGGAGGAGGCGGCGGCTATTCTTGAGGCTGGATATGCTAGGGCTCTATATTTTTTATATAACAATATAAGCCTTCTTTGGTATTTTACCGCTAGATGTTAGCGGTTAGTTGGTTCTATTCGCAAGTCTGATCGGCTGACTGATTTAGCAATTTTGACTGACTAATTGATTTAGCCGGTTGTCAAAAAATGTTTCGTAAAATTAGCTGCTTATAAATAGTTGCTGCTCTCACAAAAAATAGTTGTTGCTCAATAAATTTGATATAAGGGTATGTATTAGAACTACGTATAAGTCATTGATTAATTATTATTTTTTAAGCAATTCACATGTTTAGTGCGACATGTTTTAAATTAAATGTCCATGATAGCAATAAAGTAATATCATCATGACCTAGATTTACTTCATTTATAATAAATTAATTTAAAATGAGAAGAAAAATAACAAAGAATAGCATGAAGCCTTGAACAAGGGAAAGAGACAAGTAAGAGTAAAGAAAAAGAAAACAACGAAAACAACGATATCATGGTAGGAGTGTGGACTGCTCCATCAGGCATGCAAGAGAAAAGAAAAAAAAAATTGAAGCCACATCAAAAAATGGCTCTTAGCAGCGTTTAGCAAAACGGCTTGTTTGCTAGAAAATCTGTTTCAAAAATTGTTTTATAAACCATTAATTTTACCTTAAATTAATAAAATAGTATTCAGCAGGGGTGCAAGATAATAAAAGCACCACATGTAACCATCTGCCCTTAGCCGAGACTTAGAGTTAACCACCTTTAACAAAGCAATATAACTCGCTAGACCTAATTTGGGCAACATAAAGCCAATGACGATTACCGTAGACCTCTCATCCCCCAAATCTAATGCAAGAGTCTTACAGAACAGAAAATAGTGAAAGTAAAACAGAACAATCCAACCATGGAAAAAACAATAAAAGCAAACCATGAAAATAAAACTAGCATTCGTCTTCCAGATCATCACAGCCACATGAAAACTCGGCGGGCCTAGGGAAATTGACCCGCCGCCTCCCCATTTTTCGGCCCATCCAGTGTCATTCCTTCTCCAGCTGTAACTCCTTTGGCCTGGCTTTCCCAAATTCTTCTGCGCTTTGTCTCACTCGGGGGTTCCTCCTTGTCACCCGACCTGCCCTGCTGGATACACTAGCACCTGTTTCTGCCGAATATTCGCCCCCGAGATCAGTCTTCCGTTGTTGCCCATATCCCTCAGAACTCGAAGATTCATTAACTAGCCACTTGTTAGGTCTTGTAGGACTGGTCTTCACCCCTCCTCCAGCTCTGAGGTCCACCCCAAAGGAATTCTCTAGCACAAACCCCTCTTCATACTTCAGTGGACATAATTTATCAGAATGCCCAATTATCCCACACATGAAGCAGAAATTGGGTAGCTTTTCATATTTAAAATCCACCCAATGCTCAACCCCTTCCTTTGTTAAGGTAGTGCCCTTTTTTAAAGGCTTTCGCACATCCATACAAACTCAGATACGTAAGTAAGATTTCCAGTTGCCTTCAAATTGGCTTTTATCGAACTTAATAACAGAGCCCAAAAAATTGCAAATCTTCCTGGCAGAACCCAAATTTCTAAATTTAAAAGGTACATTGTGAACTTGTACCCAAAAATCAGCCTGAAACAAAATCATTTTTTCAGGTATATCAGTTGGCTGAACAACTTTCAAGAGAATTAAATCACGTTCAAACAGCCAGGGCCATCCTCAAGCACACGATTCATATCCAACACATGATTAAAATTAAAAAGATACCTTTTCTCTCCAATTTTCTTGATGGCCACACCTTTTCCAGGACGCCAGATCAAAGCCAGCAGATCTTGGAAATCGAGAAGCTTAACTTTTCA